GCAAGACCCTGTTTCTAAAAAAAAAAAAAATTAAAAATAAAATAATGTATCTGGAAATGATCCTAAGGGTATACAGCAAATGAAGAAACATCTATTGAAGAAAAGCTACTAAATTTGATGTCTGTGGTATTCGAACCAAATACCATCCTTATTTGAACTGCACTCTCTCTCCTTACTCCCAGCTCCATGAGAAAAATACTCCGCCTCAGATTGTTGCAGCCAGGAACCAAGGGCTCCCCAGACCCAGCTCCCAGTCAGAGGGCTTTATTCCTCCGAGAGGCAGGACATCAGCATTTCACATCCTGCCCCCAGCTACCTATTGCTGAGGGTAACTTAAGGGCAAGAGAGACTTAGAGGTAAGGACTCCCTGCTTCTGCTCAGCATCTATGAGACTCTGCTGGGAGCATGGTACCACTGAGGATACTGGGGTTTATGGGGCAATGGTTCCATCCCAAGAGAAGCAAGCCAAGAAGACCTGAGGCTACTGCCTCATTTCCACCTGATGCTCAAATCCTAAAACAGGGACATCATTCAGAGGAAGCACACCAGGGTCTCCACTGCAGCCTCCGAGCCCTGATTTCAGAAATTTTGCCTTGGGGGAGAAGCAGGCTATAAAACAGACAGGTCCTAATCTCTTCCCAATGGAACTGGCTTCATTTGTAACAGAGGGTGAAGTTCAAGCCTACGTGTGTTCTCAAAAATAGTGGGGCTTGGGGGAAAAGGCAATTGGGAGGAGATTAGTAGATTGAACGAACATACAGGCTAAAGTGTAAGCCAGTTAGTTTGTAGGAAAGAACCAGGGAAAGAGGTAAGTGGGAGGAGCCTCCTGCTGTTAGAATGAAAGTCAAACACTAATCAGGAATGATTCCTTCAGAGGAGTCACAATTTGATTGAATCGGTCTATAGAGCAATTTCTGCCCCAGGGCATTATTATAAACAATAGAGCAAACAGCTGGCAGTTAGTGGAGTTTAACAACTGGGTGTGGTCAGGGAAAGAGATGAAGAAAACCTCGACAAAACCACTGTCTTCCCAAGATGACTGTGAACTTACCCCAAACTGCACCTCCCTGCAGAGCAACATCAGAGGTTTAACATTGCAGGGGGTGAGGAGACAGACTTCACCAAAACCAGTCACAACCAAACAAAGAAGCAAATAAACAACAAGCGGGAGGTGGGCGGATTACCAGTACCCAGAGTTGCTACGATATTGTATATAAAATGTCCAGTTTCCAGCAAAAATATATGACATAAGCAAAGAAGCAGAAAAGTACAACCCTTGTACTGGGAAAAAAGCAGGCAACAAGACTGCCTGTGGGAGCGGCCAGATGGTAGATTCAGCCAACATGAACTAAAAGTAGCCATTACAAATATGTTCAAAGAACTAAAGGAAACATGATTAAAGAAGTAAAGGAAGGGCTGGACGTGGTGGCTCACGCCTGTAATCCTAGCACTCTGGGAGGCCGAGGCGGGAGGATTGTTTGAACTCAGGAGTTCGAGGCCAGCCTGAGCAAGAGCGAGACCCTGTTTGTACTAAAAAAAATAGAAAGAAATTAGCTGGACAACTAAAAATATACAGAAAAAATTAGCCGGGCATGGTGGCACATGCCTGTGTTCCAGCTACTCAGGAGCCTGAGGCAGTAGGATCACTTGAGTCCAGGAGTTTGAGGTTGCTGTGAGCTACACTAATGCCACGGCACTCACTCTAGCCAGGGCAACAGAGTGAGATTTGTCTCAAAAAAAAAAAAAAAGAAAAGAAAGAAAGAAAGGAAGGTATGATGACAATGTTGCATAAAATAGAGACTATTAATAAGGAGATAAAAAATACATATATAAAAGGAAATTCTGGAATTTAAAGATACAACTATACTAAAATGAAAAATTCACTAGAGAGGCTCAACAGTAGATTTGAACTGTCAGAAGAAGGAATTAGCAAACTTGAAGACAGATCTATAGAGTTTATGGAATCTGAAGAACAGAAAAAAGAATGAAGAAAAGTGAACAAAGCCTCAGAGAAATGTGGCACATCATAAAATACACCAACATAAGCATCATGGAAGTACCAGAAGGAGAGGAAAGAGAGAAACAAGCAGAAGGGGTTTTTTTTCAAAGAAATAATAACTGACAACTTCCCAAATTTATTGAAAAACATTAACTGACACATCCAGGAAGCTCAACAAATGCAAAGAGATCCACAGACATATCACAGTAAAATGTCGAAAGTCAAAGACAAGGAGAAAATCTTGAAAGCACCTAGAGAAAAATGACTTATCACTTACAAGGGAACCCCAATAAGAGTAACAGCTGACTTTTCAAAAGAAAGGTGGAGGCAAGAAGGCAGTGGGATAACATACACAAATATTCAAAGAAAAAACTGTCAACCAAGTTTCCTATATCTAGCAAGTTATCTTTCAAAGATGAAAGTGAAATAAAGATATTTCCAAGTAAACAAAAAGTGAGAGAATTTATTGTTAGCAAACACACCTTACAGGAAATTCTTCAGACTGAATGGAAATGGTAAGTCAAATACACCTGGAACAAACCAATGTACATAAATCCGTAGCATTTCTGTATACTAATAACACTAAAGCCTAGGGTCAAATCAAAGACTCAATTCACAATAGCTACAAAGAAAATAAAATGCTAGGAATATACTTAACCAAGGAAGTAAAAGATCTCTATAAGGAGAACTATAAAACTCTGAGAAAGAAATCACAGAGGATACAAACAAATGGGAAAACATATCATGCTCATGGATAGGTAGAATAAACATTGTTTTGTTTTGTTTTTATGTGCAGTCCCATGTTTATTGCAGCACTATTCACAATAGCCAAATATGGAATCAACCTAAGTGACCATCGACAGATAAGTAAAGAAAATGTGGCATATATACACAATGCAATACTATTTAGCCATAAAAAAAGAACAAAATTCTGTCATTTGTGGTAAAATAGGTGAGCTTTGGAGGAAATTATGTTAAGTGACATAAGCCAGGCACAGAAAGATAAATACTCCATATTCTTACTCATATGTGAAAGCTAAAATGTTGACCTCATAGCAGTAGAGAGTAGAAACGAATGACTATTAGAGGTAGGGAAGGGTGCATGAGGAGGAGGGAAGGATAGCCAAAGGTTGGTTAATGGACACAAAAGTACAGCTCATTAGGAGGAGTAAGTTCTAGCATTCTACAGCACTGCAAGGTGACTATAATAAACAGCAACAGCAAATTTGGAAGGTTCCCAAAACAAAGAAATGATAAATGTTTGAGGTGATGGATATGCTAATTACACTGATTTGATCATTACACATTGTATATAGATACTGAAATATCACAGTGTACCCCATAAATATGTATAATTATGTATCATTTAAAAATAATGATAAAAGCATATCAAGATTCAAGCGCCTCTTATACCCTTTCTCACAGTCTTCGCATTTGTATGATTTTTCCCCACTATGGTCTCTTTATTGGTCTTTAAGATATGAACTACGCACAAAGCTCTTCCCACAGTCCTCACATTTGAATGGTTTCTCTCTGCTGTGGAGTCTCTGATGAGTGAGGTGAGTTGAGGCCCATCTGAAGTCCTTTCCACACGCCTCACATTTGTATGGCTTTTCCCCAGTGTGAACTCTCGATGGGAATGAAGTTTTGAACTCTCAGTAAATCTCTTGCCACACTCTTCACATTTGAATGGTTTTTCTCCACTATGGAGTCTCTTATGTCTCAAAATGCCTGAGGCCCGGCTAAAGCTCTTCCCACATTCTTTACAATTATAAGGTCTCTCTCCCGTGTGGACTCTCTGGTGCAAGTCAAGATTAAACTTACTAATGTAGCCCTTCCCACATTTCTTACATTTGTATGACTTTTCTATACTGTGGGCTCTGTGATGGGAATAGCGTCGTGAATTCGTATAAAATCCCTTCCCACATTCAAATGGTGTTTCTACAGTATGGATACGCCGATGTCTCGATAGACTTGAGGACCATCTGAAGCTCTTTCCACATTCTTTACAATTATATGGTTTCTCTCCTGTGTGGTACATATGATGCTTATAAAGATCTTGCCTACAAACAAAGCCTTTTCCACACTCCTCACATTTGTATGGTTTCTCTCCTCTGTGGACCACGCAATGATCATTAAATACTGATCTCTGACCAAAGCTATTAATATTATCACATGGATCATATCTGAATGGTTTCTCTCGCATATGAACCATGGAATGTCTATTAAGATTTGATCGACTACGGAAGCTCTTACCACATATATCACATTTGAATGGTTTCTCCCCATTATGGATTCTCTGATGTTCCTGAAGCTGTGAATCATGAATGAAGGCCCTTCCACATTCCTCACAATGATAAGGTTTCTCTCCTGTGTATAATTTGCAATGAACATTAAGTGCCGATCTACGACTGAAGCCTTTCCCACATTGCTCACATTTGAATGGTTTCTCTCCAGTGTGAACTTTCTGATGAGCTTGCAGAGGTGAGCCCTGACTGAATTCCTTACCGCACACATCACACTTACAGAGTTTCTCTCCCAAGTGGACTCTCCGATGAATACAAAGAGCTGATCTGTAACAGAAACTCTTTCCACACTCATCACATGTATGAGACTTCTCTCTTGAGTGTAATTGCTCCTGAAGATCAAAGACAAAGACATCACTGAAGAATTGTTTATGTTCTTTATGCTGGTAAGTTTTCTGTGGTATATGAATAAGTCCTGCCTCAGTCTGACCGGGAACGTCACCTTGTCTGGAGAACTGACAGCTATTTATCATGGAGTCTTGAGACCTGGTTAAGTCAGTTGCAATTTGTTCCCAGATCTGCTGGCAGGACAACTCTTCATGCGGTCCTGTTTCTGGAACAGTCTCCATCTTAGTTGGGACCTCGCCTACAGATTTTGAAAGCTGCCAGCCTGGGGCAGCTGCCAACTAACAGCAACCGTGACCGCCAGCAGCAGGGCTGCAGCACACTTGTACGTGCCCTGAATTCCCTTCTCTATGGGTTGCTGTCTTCATCATCCAAAACTTTTTTTCCCTTAGGATGTGGAATGTATCTCGTGGGAATGGTTGATGCTCCACAGAAAGCAGGTTCCTGAAGTTCTCCAGCATCACATCTAGGTACAATTTCCTCTGGGCAGCTTCCAGCAGACTCAGCTCCTCCTGGGTGAAGATCACAGCCACGTCCTCAAATGTCACTGCCTCCTTGAATGTGGTCATTTTTCCTCCTACTTTGGGGAATTTGTAGAGTCCTGAGTTATACAGTTCCTGGGAAGGCAGAATCACGCGTAGAGCTTTGCTTTCGGTAACCAAGAAGTCACTCTTTGAAAAGTCATCCTGCAGAGCTGTGAAACACCCTGACCTTGTCGCCGCCTGTGGTAAAAGTTAAATGCTCCCTTCTCCCTGTGGAGGATGGAAGCAACCCTCTCCTTCCTGGAGACATTCTGAAGGACCCAAAAGAAACAGAATAAACGTTGTTAAAATGTCCATATTACCCATAGTTATTTACAAATTCAATGCAATCTCCATCAAATTACCAAAGTCAAACTTAACAGATCTAGAAAAAATAATTCTATGCTTCGTTTGGAACCAGAAAAGAGCCTGAATAGCCAAAGCAATCTTAAGCAAAGAGAATAAATCTGGAGGCATCACATTGCCAGACTTCAAACCATAGGACAAGGCTATAGTAACCAAAACAGCATGGTATCAGTACAAAAATAGAGACATAGACCAATGGAAAAGAACAGAGAACCCAGATATAAAACTATTTACCTACAATCAACTGATCTTTGACAAAGCAGACAATAATCTACACTGTGGAAAAGAAGCCCTACTCAATAAATGGTCCTGGGAAAATTGGGTAGCCACAGGCAGAAGAATGAAACAGGACCCCTACCTCTCACCGCTCACAAAAATTAATTCAAGTTGGATAAAAGACTTAGATCTAAGGAATGAAACCATAAGAATTCTAGAGGGAAATGTAGGTAAAACTCTTCTAGATATTGGTCTAGGCAAAGAATTTATGAAAAAGACCCCCATGGCAATCATGGCAACAACAAACATTAATAAATGGGATTTGATTAAACTAAAAAGCTTCTGCAGCTAAGGAAACAATCAACAGAGCAAACAGACAACCTACAGAATGGGAGAAAATATTCGCAGGCTACACATCCAATAAAGGGCTAATAACCAGAATTTACAAAGAACTCAAGCAAATCAGCAAGAAAAAAAAAATAACCCTATTAAAAATTGGGCGAAAGACATGAACAGAAGCTTCTCAAAAGAAAAAGACAAGTGGCCAATAAACATATGAAAAAATGCTCAATATCACTAATCATTAGGGAAATGCAAATTAAAATCACAGTGAGATATCACCTTACCCCAGTTAGAATGGCATTTATCTAGAAGTCCAAAAACAATAGATGCTGGTGTGGATGCAGAGAGAAAAGAATGCTTATACACTATTGGTGGAACTGCAAAGTAGTACAACTCTATGGAAAACAGTTTGGAGATTCCTCAAGAACTCAAAGTAGACCTACCATTTGATCCAGCAATTCCACTATCAAGTATTCACAGAAAGAAATAAAAGAGTTTTCATCAAAAAGACACCTGCACTTGAATGTTTATTGCAGCACAATTCACAACTGCAAAGATGTGGAATCAACCCAAGTGCCCATCAATTCATGAGTGGATTAATAAAATGTGATATACGTATACCACGGAGTACTACTCAGCCATAAAAAGATGAATTAGTACCTTTTGCAACAATCTGGATGGAACCAGAGACCATTCTCCTAAGTCAAGTGTCTCAAGAATGGAAAAACAA